TTTATGAAACTGGAGTTTCATGGGCCACGGTTAACCACTGCAGGACTTGTGGTCCACACTCAGGACCTTCCAAAAGATGCTGCTAAATTGGAATCTTTATTATATCAGAGAAATCTTATTAAATAAATGGGAAACAATGCGGACTGAATTAATTTCATCTTAATGAAACTCACATGAAAAGGGAGTGGAATGAAGTTTAATTTTGCCCTGACAATACCTATCTTTTGGAATATGGTCTCCAGCATTTCATTCGAGTGCTGCCACTAACTTTTCAAAAGTTGTGTCTTCCTGATTGCTGATAGGATGAAACCCAATTACATCAAATATCAATGAAAAGGAATGAAACAAAGAGAGGAAGCTTCTTACTTGTACTTACCTGGTAAAGATTGTTGTTGTTAGTTGCAAAGTTGTGTCTGACCCATCATGACCCCATGGACAATGTTCCTTCAGGCCTTCCTGTCTCTACCATCTTCTGGAGGCCATTTAAGCTCACGCCTACTGCTTCAGTGACTCCATCCAGCCACCTCATTCTCTGTCCTCCCCTCCTTCTATTGCCCTCAATCTTTCCCAGCGTCAGGCCCTTCTCCAGTGAGTCCTTTCTTCTCATTAGGTGGCCAAAGTATTTGAGTTTCAACTTCAGGATTTGGCCTGCTAAATAGTAGTCAGGGTTGATCTCCTCTAGGACTGACCGGTTTGATCGCCTTGCAGTCCAAGGGACTCACAGGAGTCCTCTCCAGCACCATAGTTCAAAGGCCTCAATTCTTTGGCGCTCAGCCAAATGTAAAGTCATTTCCCCTCTCATATCCCTTAGCTTTCATCTCAAGTTTCAATCTGTTGAATTCATCATCCCTCCTCACCAAATTGTCATTATGGAAACCAGAAGGATTGGCTGGCATCCTATTTTCCATCTCCGTTTTGCTGCAATTGGGCACGTGAAAGGCTGAAATAACCATGCTAATTATCTTCAGCATTGTTTCCAGTGGCTCTAAAAGGTTTTGGGTGTATTCAGAGATGAGATGAGATGAGATGTAGGTAGGTAGGTTGGGTAATTTTTTGACTTTAGTTTACAGGTAGTCCTTGACCTATGACCTCAACTGAGCCCAAAATTGCCCAAAATTTCTGTTGCTAAGCAAGATTGGGGAACTCTGCTCTACAGTGATTCCTCTTCTGATCCTTTCGGTTAATAGGAGTTGACCCACAGAACTCTAGAAGCAGGCAAATGCCTACAGGACATATTATCCTGAGTTCCTGCTGGAAAAATATGTTTCAATATTCTCTGAATTGCATAACCACATTTTGGCAAATTCATTCTATTTTCAGATCTATTTTCTTAAGTAATGTTCCACTCACAAAACTAGAAAGCCAAAGGAGATAGTTGGAACTCTGCTCCTGGATTATCACTGTCTAAACACAATATAATTTGCAGATAGAACATTGCTTTAAAAAAAAGGCACATGCCAAAAGACTCAAGGAAAGAATTAGAATAGAATAATAGAATAGAATAGAACAGAACAGAATAGAAATAGAAATCTGGAAGGGACTTTGGAGGTCTTCTAGTCCAGCCCCCTGCTCAAGCAGGAAACCTATACCATTTCAGATAAGTGACTGTCTAGCTTCTTCTTAAAAAGAGAATGGGATGAATTGCCCAAAATGTCATTGTTTCATTGCTTCTAATACATGTTCCCCCAAGATCCAATTATTCCTATTTCTTTTGTTTCTTGTAAGCATATGTGTATCTATATATAAAAGGGAAATTGGGTGTAAAGTATTCATTATTATTTGGAAGTAGCTGGGTGGTATAATGCTGAGATGCATTTTCTTAGATCTATACATTGAAAAAATCTTTACATTCTAAAGCGAACTTATAAAGAACAGATAGACAAATTATTTGGAGCATAAAACAGTGTAGCTAAATTAAATGTGGAAAGGAAGTCCCTTGCTAGGCATTGAAGTTACTGATTTCACTTACTTGGAATGTAGAACAAGTTTTCAGATGTTAGTTTTGAAATCTTTCCTGCTCCAAAGTGAATGACTGTTTCCAAATCTTAATCCAGGGGTCTTCAAACTTGACCCTTTTATGACTTGTGAACTTCAACTCCCAGAATTCCTCAGCCAGCGTGCCTGGCTAAGGAATTCTGGGAGTTGAAATCCACAAGTCATAAAAGGGCCAAGTTTGAAGATCCCTGTCCTAATCTGTCAACACCACTCAATGAACAGGCAAAGGCTCAGAAATATATTATGTTAAACCGTTTATTGATTATACAAATTGGAATAATTCACACATGGAAAGGCTTAGTGTTTACGTCTGAGGAAGTTCTCGCAGTAGCTGGCACATTCTCCTTAAATACAGTAGAAAGATTCTAATTCTTAAGAGGGAATTATAATTCTGCATGGAAAGACAGGTGCTTCAACAGAGTAAGGAGCTGTTACAACAGGAGTCTTTGACTGCTTTGCTCAGATTCTTGAGTTGTTGTGCTCCAGGATACAATTTTGAGTGCTGTTTGCTTAACCTCTTAACAAAGTCTGTATAAGAATCTCTTAGACAAGGACAAATTTTGCAGCTAATCTTACCTCAGCAATGTGGCTAAGTAGGCCTACCAAATCTGTTGGGATTGTTAGACAGACTTTAAGGCTGCCAGATAAGTCCAGACAAACACAAGCTGGCAGTCAAGAATTAGGATTTCTGCTTCTCTTTGCTTATCTCTACTGGTTGCCCACATGTTGTAGCCTAGGTACCACAGGCTTAGTATTTTAATATTTTTTTCTTCCTATTTGATTCTTGAAGATTGTTTAGAAAGTCCCTGCAGTTTTTTTGGCAAGTTTTTTTCCAGAAATGGTTTGACACTGCCTTTTTTGAACTGAGAGAAACTGACTGGCCCACGGTCACCTAGTTGGCTTTGTGCTAAGGCAGGGCTAGAACTCCACAGACTTCTGGTTTCTACCCTGATTCTTTAACCAGTACACCAAACTGGCACTCACATTATGGTTTAATTCTCATCATGTTTAATTCTCCAGGTAGCTTCCAAGTAAGCAAATCCTTCATCCAGGCTCCTACATTTCAGACACCAGAAATGGAAGAAAATGTCCGTCGTCAATAATTCCTATCACTTTTTCTTCTTCAGCTTTTCTAGCTAGCTCTTTTTCTTTTGTCATTTATTTCTGAAATCAATCCAATGTATTCTCACTTCCCACACTTCTCATCACTTTCCTGTTCTGTGACCTTACTGTTTGCTGCGGCTCTAGGCAAAATGGCATGTCCATTCTGATCAATAACTATGGGATGTGCTCCTGCACAGGCCACCAACTGTTTGTACTGGGAATGAGTCAGCCAGTCTTGAGTTGCATTCAAAGCATAAATCACTGCCTTTGTTTTAAGAGGCACCAATTTTCATGAGAAACATTCCTTGTGCTTGCTAGGACAGATCCAAATGTTTTTCCAACACAAGCCATTGCCCAATCATTCTCCCCACACAATCACACTATTCTTTCTCTTCCCAATTGGAGATAAAACTCCCAGTCACAGATCTTAGTGGCAATTTCCTTGCTATATTTTCTTCTTCTTATGCAAGTACAGCTGCTTCTTGAGTCATCTAGAAGGAGCGCTTGCATTTCCACAGGGCTTTCCAAGAAAATAATCCTTATCTCTGAAACCCATCCCTATTTACAGGAAAAAAAGATACCTATTTACAACCCAAAAGACAGCCAGAACAAACCAAATTATGAAAAGGAATCAGCAGTCAGATGCAATTGCTGAAAAAAACCTCTGTGTTCTTATATTCACACACACACACTCGGAATGCTCAAATATCTTCCATTCTTATATGAAAAAGGTTTTTTTTTTCCAAAATTGCAATCTGGGGGTTAAATGATGTCTCAAAAATGCACTGAAACATAGATGCTTGCAAGATGGAATGAGAAATTGCCTTTCTGAAGCCAGAAATTTCTGCAAAGTTGTAAGCAAAAGTGAAATGCGAATTCTAGTCCCACCTTAAGCATGAATGCTGGCTGGGTGACTTTGGGACAATAACTAGGAGATGGTAAGTTCTAGTCCCACTTTCGGCATGAAAACCAGCTGGGTGACTTTGGGACAATAACTCTCTCTCAGCCCAACTCACCTTATAGAATTATTGTTGTGGGGAAAATAGGATGAGGAAGAAGTATTAGTTATGTTTGCCATCTTGAATTATTTATAAAAATAATAAAGGTGGGATTTATCAAATAATAAAGGTGGGAATCTTTAAAAAAATGCAGGAAGTATTAGTATCATCCAGCTAGGATGTACAGTATGATATGTCTTCGGAATGGCTTTGCTGAATATGAACGAGTATTTACAGAGACCAATAGTCAGGGATATCCATTAATGTCTACCTTTTTTATCAAACACTTGTGCATCTTTAAGCATGGTAATCTTATGTTTTTAGGAGTATCCCACTACAAACAGGCATCTGCACCTGGATAGCGTAGCTTTTTTTTCCTTAAAGGGAAAACACTTCCTACTGCTGTCTCCTTAGGCAATCTTGGTGGATTTTGACCTCCTAAACAACAAGGAGTTAAGAGCATTCTCTGCCATAACTACTAAATTTCTTGAACATGTATAGATTTAAAATTGTGTGCTCCCATTTCCCAACCCAGTATGTAAATCTGTAGACCAGTGTTTCTCAACTTTGGCAACTTTAAGATACATTGAAATCCACATATTTTAAAGCTGCCAGGGTTGAGAAACACTGCTATAGACCAAGATCATGGAACTCATCATGATTTATTTCAGGGAGTGTCTAGGATTGCAGCAACAATGAAAGCTAAAAAAAAACAAAAACATGATTTTTCTAGACTGGATGAGTTGGGGAGAAAGTAACTGAAAAAAGTTGGCTGAGAAATATAGATGATATGCTGGAGATGTTCATATGCAGGAGATATGGTGTTTCTGACCTAAAAGGCCAAGATTTTAACTGTTCTTGTTTTGAATATTTCTAGGGTTTAGAGCAGGCAACCATCTCCAGGGGCTTGTCACTATTCTTTTATCACACTTTAAATCATCTCTGCCCACTTCATTTAAAAACTTGATTTTATCAAGGTGACCTTGACAGGCTGTGTCACTTCTCCAAAATATGCTGCCACCTGTTGAGGCTCACTTCTCCAATGGATGCATCTACCATTGTTTAGGCTCTGATTACCGACTAGCTTTTGATCAGCTGCCCACATCTCTAAGTCCCATACAGGAGGCAGAACCCAATTGGCCGTTCTGCAATAACATGTGTTCCAATTGGTCGGCTGAGGCAAAGGTTCCTCCCAATGAGGGCCGCTAAATAGGAATGGCTCCTCTCTGGCTGAGTCAAACAGATGAGGTGTCGGCTGTGGAGTCTTCATTTTGGATGACAACCAATTTTCCTTGCAAGGACAAGGCAAGGACCAGTCAGAAGCTTCTGAGGCACTCGACAATGGTTTGGTTGCTTGGGGTGAAGCTGGCATCTGATTTGCAACATTAGAGTTGGTGCTGCAGCTGGGATTTTGAGCAACTGTTTGATGGTGTCCAGCTGTTGTGTTGCTAGAGTCTAGCTTTATGCAGGTGCCATCCCCAGGAAAATAGTGATGGTTCAAGCCATCTTGTGAGGCACCCAAATCATCTAGGGAGGAGCGAGAACTGGTCCTTCCTGGGGAGAAAAGGACAGGAACTATATTAGGAAACCTTGATCTACCAAGCACTCAAGCTCTGTGGACAATAGACATAATCACTTGACATACAAGATAGTCAATAGTTTCAATAGGAGGGCAACAATAGCCAACTTTGGCTGATCTGGAAGCTACAGCAGAGTCAGCTCTGGTTAGTGAATGGTGGGGGAGATGTCCAGAGAATGATAGGGCAATTGGCTAGACTAGAGTAACTAATGATAGTGAATTGTGGCTACCAGATGAGAAGCCCTCAGCACAATATTGTGAGCTATTGCTCCATTCAAATCTTGTGGGATGTAGCAGAGCCTTGGGTGCAAGGCCCCAAAACACCAAAGTCAACTCTGATTGGGAAGCTACAAGACAGCCACAAATCATATTTTTACATTTCTAACAAGCTGCACAGAAATTCGGAGGGCTATTTGTGGCCTCATTTTTAAAGTTCGGCACATAGCTTTAATTAAAAATATTGAAAAGGAGAGAGCAAAAACAAATGACAAAAAGCAGAAAGGATTAAACTAATCCTGGTCAACTGTGAATATTTCCTCAGGTTATATTATGTAAGCAATGATCAGTTTTCATCTGGCATCTTGGATGGGCTGGATATGCAAGTCCCAATCTCTTGTTCAACGAACAAGTGAATGGGAGGTCCATGGAATGATAAGGGCGTAGTGCAGGGGTCTTCAAACTTGGCCCTTTTATGACTTGTGTACTTCAACTCCCAGAATTCCTCAGACAGGGTGCCTGGCTGAGGAATTCTGGGAGTTGAAGTCCACAAGTCATAAAAGGGCCAAGTTTGAAGACCCCTGCTGTAGTGGAACAATGCAGCCTCTGTAGCCTTGGCTTGAACATCCAGGTAATCCTTGACTTACAACCATCCATTTAGTGACCCTTTGAAGTTACAACGGCACTGAAAACTGACCTATGACCAGTCCTTGCACTTATGACGGTAGCAGCATTTCCAGGATCACGTGATCAAAATTTGAGTGCTTGATAACTGGAATGTATTTCCAAGAGTTGCAGCATCCCAGGGTCACATGATCACCATTTGCTCCTGACAAGTAAATGGGGGAGGGTGGATTTGCTTACGATCCACATGATTCATTTAACAAACTGAAGTGATTCACTTAACCATACAGTATCAAAATAAGTCATAAAACTAGGCATGACTCATGACTCACTTAAGATGCTTGGCAATGGAAATGCTAGTCCCAATTCTGGTTGTTAAGTCAAGGACTACCTGTACAGGGCTCCATGGCTTAAACAGAGTGTTAATTCATTCGCATTTATTCAACTCTTCATACCTAGGCATGCTGAAAATAGGCTACTGGCTTCTGCTTGTAAAGCACAGGGACCAACCTATTATGTGGGGAACCCACTAACGAAGGCACCACATGGCATCCTAGATAGAACTTAAACTACAGATACTCCTCAATGTACAACCACAATTGACTTTAAAATTTATGTTGCTAAGTGAGAAATTAGTTAAGTGAGTTTTGCCCCATTTTACGACCTTTTTTGCCACAGTTGTTAAGTGAATCACTGCAGTTGTTAATTTTGTAACACGGTTGTTAAATGAATCTGGTTTCCTCCATTGACTTCACTTATCAGAAGGTCGCAAAAGGGGATCCCGTTACCCCGTGACACTGCAAACCGTCATAAATGAGTCAGTTGTCAAGCATCCAAATATAAATCACATGACCGTGGGGAATGCTGCAATGGTCATAAGTGTGAAAAATGATAATAAGTCACTTTTTTCAATTAAAATAGAGCTGGAAGGGACCTTAGAGGTCTTCTAGCCCAACCCCCTGCTCAACCAGGAGACCCTATTTCAGATAGATGGCTGTCCAGTCCTTTTTAAAAAACCTCCAGTGATGAAGGCAAGCTGTTCCACTGGTTAATTGTCCTCACTGTTAGGAAGTTTCTCCTTGATTCCAGGTTGCTTCTCTCCTTGATTAGCTTCCATCCATTGTTTCTTGTCTTGCCTCCTGATGCTTTGGAAAATAAGTTGACCCCCTCTTTACTTTGTGGCAGTCCCTCAAATACTGGAATACTGCTATCATGTCCCCCCCTCCCAGTCCTTCTTTTCTCTAAGCTGGCCAAACCCAATTCCTGCAACTGTCGTTGTAACTTCAAACGATCATTAAGTGAACTGTTGTAAGTCGAGGACAATCTGTATATTGAAAGAGCTACAGGCCAGACTGGATAGCTGGGGAAAAAAAAAACTTTCCCAAGAAGGCAGCGATGAATTACTTCTGTATCATTGCCAGGAAAACATCACAGATCTGTCCAAGTCATCACCAGAAGCTGACTCAAGGGAGCCTTTGCTTTTTTGGTCAAAAACACATAAGTGAAATAGTTTTATTATGTCCTCTGCAGCTAACAAAGTCAGTATTGTGTACAGGATTTTGGATAGGAAAACAGATTGACCACAGAAAAAGTCCAGGTACACAGAGTCTTTAGTTTTCATACATAGAACCCGTCTATAAGATGGATGGTTAAGAAGTTTGATGTATAAATAAATAGTCCACAGTTAGCAACCATTCATTCAGCCAGCATTCAAACTTATGAAGGCCTTTCTGGGTGGTCCTCAAGTTGTGCTGAGGTACCAGGGCCACTGTCGTATGAGCGTGATCCAAATGTTTGGGAACTGGCTTGCAATTATTATAGTTGCAGTGTCCCCATGCGATGGGCATTTGTGATCTTCACTGACAAAGTCAATGGGGGAAGCCAACGGGAGGTTATCAATGGGGATGAGGTGATATCACACCTAATAATTACAGGATTCACTTTAGGTCAAGGGTAGGCAACCTTGGCTCTTTTATGACTCATGGACTTCAACTCCCAGAATTCCTGAGCCAGCCATGCTGAGGGGAAAGAGAGAGGTTTCCATGCTGAGCCATGCTGGGTCAGGAATTCTGGGAGTTGAAGTCCACGAGTCATAAAAGAGCCAAGGTTGCCTACCCCTGTCTTAGGTGAATTATGACTACAATTGGAACTGCTGTCATAAATCACATGATGTCATGCTTTACAACTGTATCACTTAGTGATGGAATTCCCAGTCCCAATTACCGTTGTTAACTGAGGACTATCTGCACCTGTTGGGAAGTGACTGGCAGGAAAAGAAAAAATATGAGATTATATCCAAATAAAACGCAAAGGAAAATCATGTGAAACTTAAGACTCCTGGGCTGTATCTAAGACAATTATGAGGTTCTGACAACGCCTTGGAAAACCTGTGAATGAGGCATACCAGTGTCCAGAGGTTGTAAAACAATATCTGAATACAGGTGGTCCTTGACTTACAACAACTTATTTAGTGGCCATTCAAAGTTACAACGGCACTGAAAAAAGTGACTTATGACCATTTCTCACACTTACGACCGTTGCAGCATCCCCATGGCCACATGATCCAAATTCAGATGCTTGGCAACGGATTCATATTTATGACGGCTGCAGTGGTCTGGAGTCACGCAATCCCCCTTTTGTGACCTTTTTATAAACAAAATCAAAGAGGAAACCCGATTCACTTAACCATGTTATTAACTTAATAGCTGCAGTGATTCACTTAACAACTGTGGCAAGGAAGGTCGTAAAATGGGGCAAAACTCATATAACAAATCTTTCGCTTAGCAACAGAAATGTTGGGCTCAATTACGGTCATAAGTCAAGGACTACCTGTATTACTTGAACAAGGAATTTGCTTTCAGGCAAATAAAAGGCAGAACGAAACAACCCAGGAGGCAATGCAGAATTAAGGAGGCTGTGAGTTGTACATTTTGGATCAGGTTTTGCAAAAAAAACCACCAAAATGTAACCTCCAGGGACGATACCCTTGCCTATCGGGGATATGAGTCAGCATTTTACCCACAGATGCATCACCACCCTAATATGGAGCTATTTGGGGAAAAAAGGGGGGGGGAGGATCAAAAGGCAGGACATACATGCTTGGGACAAATAAAGAAACGCAGTGGCCTATCCTAGTACCTGTGACGAGTTTTCCCCGCTGCGAAGCCTCTGTCGCCAGCGCATGGGAGAGCTGGATTACTCGCTGTCGCTCCCACTCAGGGGTTGGGGGGCACCGAGGAGGCTTGACTTCCCCAATTTGCACTCCCTCCTTGGGTGATGACTCAGGGGGGGCATTGGGGAGGGGCTGAAGGAGAGATTAAACGACGGGAGGGGAACGTGGCGTGAGCAACACAGATCTAGGCCCAGCTCTTGACAAAGCCACCCCTTGTTTACCATTTAAGCTACACATTAAGCACACCATCCTTTCCTTCTGGTTTTGATTTATAAAGCCTGGAAGACAATCCTTCGCTTTCCCTGGATTCATGTGCAAAGTCATAACACCTCTTGGTGGGAACCTTTCCTTTTCTCAGCCCCCACCCCACCCCGCCCAAGCGTGAAGCATCTCCTTTCACTCCTGCCTCAGAACACCCGGCTATCTTTATTTGATCCTTCTTCTGGCTTCCTCTTAACAAACCCAAATGGCTGGTTTCCACCACAGAAAGAGAGTTTGGAAATCTATCCTTCTCCCACCCAACTGCCCAATGCATTTTGGCTCCTCTCTGGGCCACAGAACCTCTCTCCCACTTAGCGTCGGAGTGTTTCCCTAAAGCGTCCGCCCAAGACCCCTGCCATTCTCCTACACTCCTCCTCCTCCTCCCCACAAGGCTTCACACCCACCCGGCTAGACCCATGCTTGAGAGAGTCTCGCCAGTGGCCCAGGGGAGGGGGCTGGGCAGCCTCAGATTTCCGTTTGGCCTCCTGGTGCCGCTGCATCCTGTCCAGCTGTTCCTGGGCGCTCATGCGGGACCGCCGAGGGACCGTCGTTTCGGAAGAGATCACCTGGACGTGAGGGAAGAAGGGAGGGTTGGGAGAAGTCACGGCCCAGGTGCCACACTTTTACGTGGAAAGTTGTTTTTTTCTTTCAGTCCTTTAATACTAAAACTTCAAAAATGAATAAGCCGCACCCCAAGGGAATGGGAAGCTACCTCAGCACCCTCTTTACCTCCCCTGCATTGGGCAGGATTGAGTTTTGAACCCCCTTTTCCATAAATTGATGAAATTAACGGCTCGGCTGAACCTGAAGACATCCGTGGCATTCCTTGAAAATCCTAAGCCAGCTCCCAAATCAGGCCAATTTTTCACTTCTTAAGGAACCCTGTATTGCACCCCCAAAAAACATTGGTCCTGCCCACTTCAGTAATACCATGATGTTATAAGGCACATCCCTCACGCTTCCAGGCAGGACACAAAGAAATGTGTGGCCGATTCCTAAGCTACTGCTTTGCCACGCTGGCATTCTTTTACCACCATGCATGGCCTTTGCAATCATTTATGACTTGCCCGCCATCCATCCATTACAACATCCATTACAACATTTATGACCTGCCCGCCATCCATCCATTACAACCATGGCCCTTTTATGACTTGTGGACTTCAACTCCCAGAATTCCTGAGCCAGCTATATTCTGGGAGTTGAAGTCCACAAGTCATAAAAGGGCCATGGTTCCCCATGCCTGCATTTAGGACTTCATCCCTTTCCGCATACATTCCAGAAACTGTTAAAACAAGGTTTTTTTAGTTGTAGTTCCAAGAGCCATTGAATGTTCATGAAAAGCTGGAATGAATAAAATAATTGTTTAAATCCCTTCAACTGCCATCCCTCATCAATCTTCCCCAACCAGATGTCTTGGAACTACAGGTCACATCTGAAAAACACTAGAGGAGAGCCAGGATGGCATTATGGTTAAGCAGTTGGTCTAGATCAGTGTTTCTCAAGTTCAAAATTTTGTGTGGACTTCAGCTGCCAGAATTCCTCAGCTGCTGGCCACTGGCTGTTGACGAGATTGAAAAACACTCATTTAGCACCATGAAGATTCAATTCAACTCCATTCTCATCCTGCCTGGGGGATGTCTCAGCCCAACCTACCTCATAGGACTATTCTTTGGAAAAACAAAAGGGAATGCCATGGATGACACTTTTGAGCTCTTGGAGGAAAGGCAGGGCAGAACCTAACAAATAAATAAATAAATAACCAAATGAGGAAGGCGGCAATAACTTTGCCATCTGTCATACCTTGACAACGCTGTGTTCAGGAACTTCACTTCTATGGATGCAGCCTTCATGGTCTATGGAGTGGAAGGGAAGCAAGGAAAAAAAAAACCTGTCAAGCTTAAATTTCCTGTCTCTCCCTAGTTTCTGCTTCCACACAAAAAGAAACCATTTGAGTAAGCAATCAATAAATGGCATCCTGTTAGTTGCAGGACAGAGAAGCATCCATCCTTCAAGGTTAGAGCAGGTGACAGATGTGTCCTGCTTCTCCCAAGGGAACATTTTCTGACCAATGGGAAAGCCGCCTGATACAGGAAGGGAAAAGGAATTGTTTCTATTGCTCCCCTCTGGGAGGAGTTTCAAAGTATTTATAGCAGAGCTACTGGATTCTGTAACAGCTTTGTTCCTTATGCCATCTGTCTTGTAAATTCGCAGGATTCTTTTTTTTTTGCCATATATATGTATACATTCAAACTAGACTGTGATGTTTCTCTGTGTCATATATGTGTGTATGTGGGCATATGGCAAAATGGTATTTTTTTGAGAGCTGAATGCAACTAAATTTCATTTTAATGCATGCTGATTAGTGTACATTTAAAGTGACAATAAAGTTTTTATTCTATTCTATTCATTATGGGTAATTTAAGAAATGAAGCAAAAAGTGATAAAAGGGATAGGATAGGATAGGATAGGATAGGATAAGGTAAGGTAAGGTAAGGTAAGGTAAGGTAAGGTAAGGTAAGGTAAGATAAGATAGGATAGGATAGGATAGGGTAAGGTAAGGTAAGGTAAGGTAAGGTAAGGTAAGGTAAGGTAAGATAAGATAAGATAGGATAGGATAGGATAGGATAGGATAGGATAGGATAGGATAGGATAGGGTAAGGTAAGGTAAGGTAAGGTAAGATAAGGTAAGATAAGATAAGATTTATTGTCATTTTTTACAGTGGGCACACTGGCACACATTAAAAATAAAATTCTGTTGCCTGCTCTCAAAAGTGTACAAATACATAACACACATATAAACATGTTATATACAACATATGTATATACCTACATTCTTACATATAATACATATAAATATTAATCACTGTCCATCTTGAATACATAGCAGAAAGAGGAAGCTTGAGAGTTCATAAGTTAATACTGTATTGAACAAAACTGACCGAATCTGGATGTTCTGCTTCGGATACCACGAAGCCCCCTCCTCCCAGAAGGTAACAAGGAAAACAGGTTGTAAAGAGGATGTGTAGTGTCCCAGACAATCTTGTGGACCCTGCTCAAGCAATGCTTATATGCTATGTCCTGGATGAAAGGGAGTGAACTGCCAATGATCTTTTCTGCCATCCTCACCACTCTCTGCACTGCCTTTCTGTCTGAAGCAGTGATGCTTTCAAACCAGACAGCAATGCCATATGGCAGGGTGCTCTCAATCGTCCCTTTGTAGAAAGTGGTAAGGACAGGGGAAGGAAGATGGGCTTTTCTCATGCGACGCAGAAAATGCAGGCACTACTGTGCTTGGGTCAACAGTGTCTCACTGTTGAGTGACCAAGCTTAAGGGAGGAAGGAGATGACCTGGGCATCTTCTCAAGTCTTAATTCCATTAAGGTTATAATATTTTAATGCACTATTTAGGGAGATGCCTTTATTCTAGTCTAAAGTGATGTACAGGTAATCCTCGACTTATGATCACAATTGGAACCAGAATTTCTGTCGTTAAGTCATTGGAGTTACAGTATAAGTCAAGTCAGACCTGATTTCATGATCAGTTTTACCACAATCATTAAGCAAATCACACAGTCATTACAGTAAATCCAGTTTCCTCAATGGGCATTTTTTTTTTTTGAAAAAGGCAAAAAGGGTCACAAATTACAGTCATGGTGACCACTGCAAATGGGAGCTGGTTGCTAAGTGACCGCATTCAGTCACCAAGCTTCAGGGGTGATGAGGTGGTTGTACCGATAAGTGTGAATACAGGTTGTAAGTAACTTTTCCTGAGGCCATCATAACTTTGAACCATTGTTAAATGAATGGTTGTAAGTCAAAGACTACCCACAGTTATGAGTTTCTGCTGCACAGTGCTTGAAATCCAGTCATTTGTTGTTTCCAATGGAAATTTCCTTTCCATTTTTTAAAATTGTATTATCATCTTCATTATTACTATTAATAATAAAAAATATTAGTTCTACCTCTACTGCAGTTCATGCTACTTTACTGGGGGGGGGGTTTGCTTGGGTGATTTATCCTGCTTGATTCTTACTGGAGCTTTTGTCTTTATTTCGTTTTCTCAGCAGACTTGCAGGAGCAGACAGATGGAAAAGCAGGGAACAAATAATTTTTAAAAAACCAGACATCATCCATATACACCAGTAACAACCTTGATTCTCCAACTGCATGTTCCAATACAGGCAAACCAGCATACATTCACATACAAAGGAATGCAAAACAATGCTTAATACCACTGTTTAATACAGAGATCTGACACAAGTACGAAAATTCAAGCTTTTTAGAAAAATCAAAACTTTTTAGGGTAAAACACCATACTTTGAAGGATAGATATATAGGGACCTGGGGCAGGGCGGGAAGTAATATATTTTACAAAAATATAATTAGCAGAACAGCAACAATGTCATTAAAAATATAGCCACTCTAGAGTTCTCGCTCAAGGCACAAAGGACCTAGCCCAAATTATCCTACCTGGGACACCTTATGCAAAGACCTTGTTCTCTGGAGAAGACTGTCTGATGCTGGGAAAGAGAAGACAAGGATGGCCAGCAGCAAGAATAGATAGACTTAGTTACAGTAGCCATGAGTGAATTATTAGAAGAGCTGAAAGGCCAGTTAGAGAAAGAGAATTGTGGAGAAAATCAGGTAGTCTTTGACCGAGCCTGGAATTATGTTGTAAGTTACACAGGTCATTAAGTGGGTCATGTTATGTTATATAACCGAGCCTGGAATTATGTTGTAAGTTACACGGGTCATTAAGTGGGTCATCATGTAATGACGTCTCATTTAATGACCTTTTTTGATGGCTGTTCAAACTTTGAATCCAGGTCATAAGTATCTTTTTTGGAGTCTATTGCAACTTTAAATGATCACTAAGCAGGCACTCAAGAGTCAAGGACTAAATGTGGTTGCTAAGAGTTGACAAGGGGTTTTTAGTACAGAATCAATCAATCTACAGCCACTTTGCAGGCTCTACATCAGTGCCACCAAACCTCCAGGCTAGGTGGCAAAGCCACGTCTTCAGGTCCTTCCAGAAGGCCAGCAAAATCAGGCTAGTCTGACCTCAGAGGAAATGGATGTTCCATAGGATAGGTAACAAAACAGAAAAGGCTCTCCTCCTGGGTCCCACCAGGTGACATTCCTTCATGGATGGAGCCCACAAAATACTCTTTCTGCTGGACCTGATAGGATGGGTAGATGTGATTGTGCGTTCTCTGGAGTTGTCCCTGGACAACAGAGGAGTTGAGCAACATGGGAAAAGGGAGATGCCCACCACACCAGACAACCTTTCCTTCCTGTATGGTCACCTGTTAATTCGACTATTTTAAAATCCAGATTCAAGCACAATTTCAAAAGGAACCTGAACTTGGATTAACTGTTATTTCAAAAGAAAATTTAACCTAGGTTTAATAACTGCTACAGGCTGGATGGGAGGATGTTGTCCAAGCTGTTTCTCAGACACTGATAGGTGTCGGGGAGATGCACAGTCATAGGCAGAGGGAGGGGAGGAACAAAGTTAAGGGAACCCACCGTTCCTTCTCTTGCCCTTCCCTGCATGCCACAAAGAAGGATACCACCATTTGATGGCATCTCTAACTGGGGATGGCACTGGGGGCAGCACAATTTATGCCAGTAAAGTTGTTTGCTGGGTGAAGGCTAAGCGGATAGCTTTTCAACTGAATCACACAGGGAAATGGATCCATGCTCAAATTGAGACCCAGATACATACTTATTTCTCAATTTCATTCACCTGGTCTAACAGAATCTGCTCCTCTGCCAAGCTTCCCTTTCTCGCTCTCTCGGGGCTCAATGGAGGAATGGTTGGGGGGGCCCTTGAGTCCATCCAGATGCTGAGATGCTCCCAAATGCCCTCTGCTGGAGGTAGATGGACTTTGCTGGAAGGGAATACAAAGGCGGTCAAGTTGAGGGCACTGCCCAGAGGGGAGGGCAGAGCTGGGGAAGGGAACGGAGCCCACACCTGATGCCCTAGAAACAGCCTTACCTGCCAGTCTGTTGAACTGGGGCCATCCTGCTGTTTGCTCCCTATTCTGCCCGGTTTTCCTGTATCCCGCCCATAGCTGGGCATAGATTCCTGGAATAAATGGTAAAAGTTGGAGAAGCTGTTTCAGATTCCATCACGTGGCTTCCCAACCTTCCAACCACAAAGTCAACGGTGATTTGCTCAACAATCATGCAATTTACTTAACAACTGCAGTGATTCGCTTAATAAACCTGCCCCCCCAAAAAAGGCTATTAAAAAGGTGGTAAAATTGGGTGTGGCTCACTTGACAAATATCTTGCTCAGCAACAAAAAATCTGGTCTGAATTGGGGTCATAAGATGAGGACTACCTGCAACTGGTTTACAGAAAGGCCAGCCAGTTGATTCAAGGAAACAGATTCATGTCACAAAGGAAGAAACTGGAACTTTAGTGCAGCTTCCAGAATTTTTTCAGTGAAAATAGTTGTCAAATTGATATCCAGCGCCACCTACTGGAGTATTAGAGAAATTGATACAGTACTATATACTCTTCTTGCTTTGACTAAATTGTTGGACTGGTGACCGAGAATTTTCAGATTTTACCACTTTTTAAGAACACATTATGACACAAAAATCAGAGGAAGAATAAAATGACCAAGCAGAATCCAAGTACTTCTTTCCCTTGAATGGAGCTTCTATTTATTTCTAACACCAATACTTTTTGCAAAATTATTTGCTTTTCTGAAGCAAAATTATAAAGATTATGTGTCGCCCCTTTTGTAACAAATCCTAAAAGCACAGGAAAGTTACCACAAAGTCCAATGAAGCTTATTACCAGGTAACATGGTTTTATTAATTACCTTAGGGATCCCATGATGGTTACATGAAGGTTAACTGGAACATGCTTCCCCCCCACCACCACCACCGTTTTGCTTTCTTATCTTTTTTAATTTATTTTGATTGTGTTTTAAATTCGTTTTTAATCTATTTGGGTTGTTTTATTCTGTATGCTGTCCTGAGGCACTACATGAGATGGGCGGCTATATAATTATGATTGATTGATAAATAAATTAAAGTGTAGGAAGACACATCCTAATAAATCAGGTGCCGTGTTTTAGGGAAGACTATACAGGTAGTCCTCGACTTACAACAGTTCATTTGGTAAGTGTTCAAGGTTACGACAGCACTGAAAAAAGTGACTTATGTGTGTTTTCACGCTTATGACCACTGCAGCATCCATGTGATCGTGATCAAAATTTAGATGCTTGGCAACTGACTCATATTTATGACGGTTGCAGTGTTTCGGGGTCATGTGACAAGCAAAATCAATGGGGAAGACAGATTCTTTTAACAACCATGTTGCTAATTTAACAACTGCAGTGATTCATTTAACAACTGTGGCAAGAAAGGTCATACCATGGGGCAAAACTCACATAGCAACAGAAATTTTGGGCTCAATTGTGGTTGTAAGTCAAGGACTACCTGTATAATTAGTGGTCTTTGAATGTGTACCCTTATACCCTCATGCACACGCACAAACACTGCCACATCTTCTGGCAGGCATATTCAATACACAGTCGGTATTAAACAGAGGGAATGTTCAGCCTCTAAAGAATGTTTCCAAAAATAGAACAGGACAGAAGTCTAAAAGAAAGACAAAAGGGGAGAGTCCATCACGCTCTGAAGCCAAACTCCAGATGAAGTGACTTGTTCTTTTTGAAGTACCTCTGTTTCGGTGCAGGATAGCAGAGGGTGATGATTTGCCCCCAGATGTGAATCCAGAGGTGAGGGTGAGCCTGGAGACACATCTACAATGAAGAAAGCAAAAGATATTGCAATGGATTTCTTTCTCTCAAGATCCTTCTCTTACCATAGTCAGAACACCATCATGGATATGTTTAATTACACTTTTGATAGTGTTTTAATTACAAGGTAGTCTCAGGAGATGGCAGCTTGGTAATTTAGATAACGATTAGGGGACTGGAGACCAAAACATACGAAGAACGGTTGCAGGAATAGGGTATGTCTAGTTGAATGAAAAGAAGGACTAGGGGTGATGTGATAACAGTGTTCCAATATTTAAGGGACTGCAACAAAGAAGAGGGGGTCATCCTTCAAAGCACCTGAAGGCAGGACAAGAAGCAACAGATGGAAACTAATCAAGGAGGGAAGCAACCTAGAATTAAGGAGTAATTTCCTGACAGTTAGAACAATTAATCAGTGGAACAGTGGTACATTAATCAGAAGTTTTGGGTGCTCCATCCCTGGAGGTTTTTAAGAAGAAACTGGACAGGCATTTGCTTGAAATGGTATAGAGCAGTGATGGCGAACCTTTTAGAGACCGAGTGCCCAAACTGCAACCCAAAACCCACTTATTTATTGCTGGGTGCCAGGTGGGCGTGGCCCACTGGGTGGGCATGGCTGTGGTGGTCATGGCAGACTGGGTGGGTGTAGCCAAGGTGGGTGTGGCCACCTCGATGTTGCTCGTGGGGAGGGACGCCTGTGGGGGCCAGGCAGGGTTGGGGGAGATCCAGGGGGTCTCTGGCAGGTGGGGTGGTGGGTAGGAGGTTCGTCCTGCGGGGTGAGGTGGGGGTGCCATTATCTCAGGGCAAGGCAAGGCAGGGGCCGGGGCAGCTGCTGCCTGACACCATCAGTCCCCGCACAGAGGCCAGCAAGCGCATGGGGGCCGACAGTGTCCATCAGCAGCCACAGCCTACCGGCCCCTCGACCAGCGCACTCTGGGGCTCCGCAGCCCGCCACCAGCAGTTCAGAGAAGTGCCCACAGAGAGGCCTCTGAGTGCCGCCTCTGGCACGCGTGCCATAGGTTCGCCACCACTGGTATAGTTTCTTGTCTGAGCCAGGGGTTGGACTAGAAGACCTCCAAGGTCTGTTCCAACTCTATTATTCTGTTAATTGGAGATGAGCCCTCCCCCTCCCCCCCAGAAATAAATTACAGGACTGTAGCTTAGACTGGGAAACTGGAAGTCATCTCAGAAAAATGAAAAAAAAAAGTCTGCATGTGAGGGTTCAGATAGTCATTGAGAACCACACTGAATCAAGAGGATCTTTACCTTCTCAACTGCATTGTTGATGTCATTTCTTTGACAGCAATCAACAATCATTACTCCCATCTATTGGTGGAAAGGTGGGGTACCATTCCCAGGAACAAATCCCAGGTATAATAATGAGACATACCTGATGAGGAAGGAACCCTCCGGGTTGCAATGCTGATTATTCACAACAGAGAACTACCCCGCTCTGCCCCCCTCCCCACACCTAGTGCAGTGCAGTGCTGATCACATCGCATTAAGCACCTGATCTTCGGTTTTCCAGGGTGCGGTAATTTGCATGGCTGCATCTCAATCCCGCCAGGATGTCATAGATTCTCCACAAATCCTGCTGAGCTGCTGCTTGGTCCTAAAGGAAGGGAATTGATGGACAAATGGAGACAACTGCCACACCTAGAACTGCCGCAATCTAGAACTAAGGAGAAACTTCCTGACAGTGAGAACAATTAACCAGTGGAACAACCTGCCTCCAGAAGCGGTGAATGCTCCAACACTGGAAGTTTTTAAGAAGAGACTGGACAGCCATTTGTCCGAAATGGTATAGGGTTTCCTGCCTGAGCAGGGGGTTGGACTAGATGACCTTCAAGGTCCCTTCCAACTTT